TCACCTGCTCCAGGTGGCCCTGCCCTGCCAACCTCGGCAATTCTGTCATTGTGTTTCCTCCAGCCCCTGGGGGTAACAGTGGGGCTGCTGACAAAATCAAACAGCGATTTGATAAATTAAATCTGTATTTTTATTTTTCCCTACTCACGGTAGATAATTTTCCTCTACTATCAGCAGAGGGCATTGGCTCTGCAGCTTCCCTGGAAAAACGCAGAGAAGAGCGCTGAAGTTGCTCCAAACCCTTGCCAAGTATTTGTCATTAATTTTATAGAAATTTGGAAATTAGAGTTCAACTAAGGCAGGATGTGCAGCCCCGGGTGGGCTTGAGGCAGCTCGCAGGTGTCACCCGGAGGTGCACACATCAGCCAGCCTGAGGTGCTGACACCCCTTGTGCCCTGTGCTGCCCTTCTCCAGGCTGTCAGAACCTTGAGGTGCTGACACCCCTTGTGCCCTGTGCTGCCATTCTCCAGGCTGTCACAGCCTGAGATGCTGACACCCCTGCTGCCCTTCTCCAGGCTGTCACAGCCTGCAGTGCAGGGTTTGCCTGGCACTATCACCGTGCCCGGCAGGACAGGATACATCGCTGTGTACATCACTGCTCCCGGGTGCATCGCTGGGGATTTGGGGAAGGAGGAAAAGAAATCTCTGCCCGGCACTAGATGGTGCTGCGAGCACACAGCCGGGTGCTCCACGCAGCGGGATCTTTGCTCTTGCTGATCACTCCTCCCAGGAGCTCTTGGTCCAGACATCAGCGGTTCAGAGGCAGATCAGTGCGTTTGGTCCCACTCTGGGGAAAAATGGGGAGAAAACCCCATTCTGTGGTATTCAAATTCTATGAACAGAGAGGGACATAATTCTCTCTCCCAGGATTTTTCCTGGACAAGCATGGAGAGAAGAAGAGAAAACAATTTTTATCTCTATTTGCTGCTCCTGTTGTTCTGCACCTGTGGATTGTGTTATGGAGATTGTTTACCAAAAGTGGTTTGTTAACTGGACACTGGTGAAAGTTGTTTTGAGTGGTTAGCCAATCACTCAAAGCTGTGTCCTGGCTGTCATGAATTTTTCTTTAGTATAGTATAATATTCTTTAGAACAATATCTCTTTACTATGAAATTAAATATAGTATTAGTGTAATATAATATAGCTTAATAAATCAATTGCTCAGTCTTCTGAATCATGGAGTCAGAGCCCATTATTCCCAGTGCCAGGGGTTTGCCTGCTTCTACCATACCATTCATCTGGAGAATTAATCTGCATGACCTGGTGGGCTGCCCCTCACTCTGCCTGGCACCTTTGCCAAGGGTTTTCCCTGTTTGAGAGGTGGAGTGCCATTCACCCCGTTCAGCAGAACTGCTGCCACCCTGCTCCATCCCAGGGCATCCAGGAGGAAAGCAAATAAACAATTAAGGGTTGCCTGGGAAGAGTTATCCTAAGTGAAGTCAATGGCCTGTTTAAACCCTGATCCTGCCTCTGTGAGGAGCTGACATAAGAAAGGACAAACAACCACTAGTTGATCTTCCAAATATTTCCCAGCCTCACTAGATTTGTGGTTTAGGATTTCCTGCATGCCATTATCCTGGGGGGAATTTTTCTTCCAAGGATTTGTCCAGTTTCTCTGAAAAAAGCTCTTTTGTTTATATCTTATTTATTTATAGTGTTTGAGCAAAAGAGCAATGACTGCTTGTTGGTGTTTCCTCTGGCTGGGGCCACTTTCACTCCTAGGAAAGGCAGCCCAAACACCAAAATGCTGCTCTGCATCTTGCAGCCTAGACACTTGCAGAGGGTCTGTAAGATGTCATGAAGAGCTGTGCACAGATATTCACAGGCTTGCAAGCATGAAAACAAGCAAAGAAAGTAACTGTAACAAATGGCTGTTCTAAGCTTTAACCTTTTTTTTTTCCCCAGTTATGAATGCATACTACATTAATACTAGTCCAAATGGGGTTTAGTGGATTTTCTTTGTTGAAAGGGCTAGGTGGTTCTGCTTGAAAGGATCAGGCTCAAAGCTCTGGGCACTTAACCCTTTCAGCCTTACTTAAGAATTCCACAGGAGTTTGTCTGGCTACAACCAGTGTGTTGCTTTGAAACAGGAACATCTAAATAGCAGGAATTACGTTGTTATGGTTCTTCTTATTGCAGTGCAATTCCCTCTGTGGGCTAAGTGTCGTCCTGATTTGTGGTGTCAAGAGTTGCCAGATCATGTTAGTCACATAAATCTATTGATCTCAACAGAGCTGCCTTGCTCTGTCTTCCCAAGTGTGACACGTGGATCACAGCACATCCCTTTATCCCGAGGCAGTGGGGGACCAGTGAGTCAGTGCTAACACAAACAGCACTGAGGACACCAAGTTTTGTGACAAAACAGGGAGTGCTTTGGTAACCAGCTGAGAGAAGTGGCATCTGCAAGGCCACTTTTCTGGGGAATCATTATCCCTTTCCGTAAATCTAGTTTTTCCAAAGCCCTCATATTTAGCTGCTGGGTTTTACCAGAACCTGCACGCAGCAAGGGCATTTAAAGAGAGAAAGACCTTTGTGATCCCTCACATCCCTTTCTAACAGTATTCCCATCTCAGTGGACTGATGACTTCTGGGATCCTGTTGGATGATGAGTGCTGCACCAACGTGAGAGACCAATGGTTTGTTTTTCCTCTCTGTTACCCAAAGAGAACTCGTGGTTGTCTATTGTATTTGCTGGGAATGTCCCAATGAAGGCAGGGATGATGCATCTGACTCCATGTTCTCAGAAGGCTAATTTAGTACTTTATGATACTATATTAAATTAAATAATACTATACTATACTAAAGAATACAGAAAGGATACTTACTCAATGCTAAAAAGATAATAATGAAAACTCGTGATTCTTTCCAGAGTCTCGACACAGCTTGGCCCCGACTGGCCAAAGAGTCAGAACAATTCACAGCAGAATCCAGTGAAACAATCACCTGTGGGTAAACAATCTCCAAACACATTCCACATGTGAGCACAACACAGGGGAAGCAAATGAGATAAGAATTGTTTTCCTTTTCTCTGAGGCTTTTCAGCGTCTCAGGAGAAAAATCCTGGAGAAAAGGATTTTTTCAGAGGATGTGAATGCCACAATTGTCCTCAGAGGTGTTTTGATTATCTCCATATACTGACACTGAGATGCCAAACTGGCTGTTGGTGCTTACAGAGCAGCACTTCCCAGGAAAACCAACCCAAATCTCACACATGCCCATGGGCTCCCACAGCTTGCCATGCTGCAGACAGGAGCCTAGGTGAGGAAGGGGGTGTAATCAAAAGGTCTGCTTTGCAGGCTTCATCATAAATGTCAGGATATTTGGAATTTTTTTTAAAGCCCCTGTTTCTGCAATCTCACCTGTAGGATGCTCCCAGTAATTTCTGTTCTCCAGAGGCAAAATACACAGAAATGGTAAAGAAGAAAATAATGGCCCAAGAAATCCCAGCTCTGGCAGTTTTGGGTGTCTCAGACTGTGAAATTCAGTGTCAAGCATTCAGGTGCCTGGCTTGTGACTTCAGGGCACTACAAAGAATTACATTTTCTTTTCTGGGCCATTTTGCATTAGATTCCTCTGAAAGGCAGAGGGAAATAGGTCAAACTCTGGTACCAGGAAGACATCAGTTATCTCTTTAGTGTCACAGGACCAAATGCTTCCCCTCAGATTGTGCTGGCAAAACCCTGAGCACTAAATCTTCCAGACTGTCTTGCTTTGGGCTCCATTTCTGACACATGCTTGAGATATCTCCTTGCAAGATTTCCACCCTGCTAAGCATCTCACAAAGGGTGAGAAAATGTTGGACATATACAGGGAACACGATTGCTTACAGCCTGTGGGGGAGTCAGAACTGTTCTTGCTCAAGCCTGGATTTGTTGCTGCAGGAGACTTTATATTATCTGGTGCTTGATATCTGATAGCTTGAGAATTTTGCAAAAAAAACCCCTTCAGTGCTAGGTTATCCTTTCTGCATTGATGACCCACTTTTTCATGCCACTGCACATAATCAGTGTGGCTGAGATGACCCTGTTTGCATCCAGGCAGGAGGCTACAGGCAACCACTGCTGTGGCTCAGCTGTGCCTTCTTGCTTATGCAAGTGATGATCCCATTGGCATCCCTGAGACTGCACCAGTGGGAAAGGGATGTGAGATTGTGCACCCCCCATCTAACTGAGCATACCACTGTCTTTCCTTTCCATGGAATAAATCAGAGGGCTTTTCGTCCTGTCTGGGCGTTCTAAAATATGTTTTGAATAGCTTAATAACTTCCCGTGGTTGCAACCACCTGTTGGATAAACAATCTCCAACCACATTCCAAAGCAGCAAAACACAGGAGAAGCAAATGAGATAATACTATTTTCATTTTTCTAGGAGGCTTCACAGTTTCCCAGGAGAGAAATCCTGGGCAAGGGGATTTTTCCAGAAAATATGACTGCCACAGTTCCTCTCTTCTTTAGAAAAGTCCCTCAAATAAATCTGCTTTTTCAGCTTTCCAGATGCCCAGGAAAGTACATGTAGAAAGAGGAGGGGTTGATAGAGGAGAAACTGCATTTCAGATTGCCTGGGAGCAGGACTGAGTAGCTTTCTCTCAGTAAATTCAGTGGTGTGACTAAGTATCCTGAGTCTGGGGAAGATAATATTCCAAAGCCAAGGCAGCCACAGTACTTGCCACAGTTAGTACCTGGGAGCTTGCCAGGCTTTGAGGTTATTCACCCTGACATTATCCCCACATAGGAATAAAGACTGTGCCATTATCCCTGTTTTACTGTCCCCATGTGGCAACTGAGACACAAATCACTATGCAATGAAATTAGAGAGTGGGAAATTAAAAAAGGGTAAAAGGAGATTTGTTCTCATGGCAAGTTAATTAAACTGGAGCCTACAGCCAAAGGCAGATGTTGTGGCAAAGTAATGCTGAAAGGAATTGTTTAGAGTTCTCCTAATTGCAAATGTTAAAAGGGACATAAAACAGTGAGCTTTGGAGATAAAGTCCATACCTAATTTGTGATGACAGTGAGGAGACATAACTTGGGGAAGAGATGACCTTCAGTCTCACCATGGCTCCTTCCCTTGAAATGCTCAGCCCAGGGAGCTGGAGACAGAGGAGAACTTGCTGCATGGGCAGCTGCAGTCCATTCTTGATTTCTGCTACCTGCCAACAAGAATGAGAAACCACACTCAAGGAAAAAGCAGAGTCTCCAAAACCCTGAGCTAATCCCGCAGTCATTCAGTCAGCCTCTGGCAGAGTTTGTGAGAAATGATGGTAAACTCCCTCATGGGCTACCTGGCTACCTTTTTTGTGTGGCTGCTGCCCACTAGCTTGCTCTCCCACCTGTGTTCCCAAGCACCATCTTTCCCCTCTGTAGTGCAGTGGGGCTGTTAACCATCCTGCCTGTGTGGATCCACTTGTACCAGGCTCTGCTGCCAAAGGAAGGAGGCACCAGCTGCAGCACTGAAAATGTTCAAGAGCAGAAACAAGGAGAGAGATTTGGAAAGTTCATGCTCAGAGATCTGTGTGTGCCAATCCCCAGCCTTATAGAGGAGTTTAATTAAGGATGGCAGCTTCCCCATCTGAAGCTGTAATCCCAAATACATGTTGTCTCCACATAGGCTCAAAGCCAAGCTGTGAGAGCACCCCAGGGCCAATGGCCACATCCCTGGGGTGGCAGATACCTGCCCTACCTGTGCCATCAGTCTGGGCATCCTCTGGCCCAGAAGAGCTGCCAAAATACATATTGGGTAGCATAAGAGAGCAATTGGGCAGCTGGAGAGTCTGCATATGTTCCCAGTTTGGGTCCTTGAAAATGAATAAAGAAAAGAAAACAGAAAAGCCAGAGGGCTAAAGGGGACAGAGTAGCCAATGAAACTCTCAGTAGCATTGTGCTATTAGGGTAAAGAAAAAAATGACATTTCTGCAGTCCCATGGTAGATTGAGGCTGCACAGGCTCTTTGCAGAGATACCACAGCCTCTGAAACAAATCCACCTTTGAAATGGGGATTTCTTACAGCATTCTGTTAAAGAGCAGTGAAACTGCACAGGGCATTGAAACAGGTCCAATTAGTGACCCATTAGTCCCCATAATTTATCCAAATCTAAATCCCACCTGATTTTGATGGACACAGACAGCTGAGACTTTGCTGTCCCAGTGCAGCTGAAAGCAAACTTTGCTTGTACCCACACTGGCTCCTTTTGTCAGGCAAAGGCCTGAGGCATTTATTTGGGTCCTCTGCAGCTCTGCCAGGTGAGCAGCAGGATGTTTTTTCTGGTCTTTGACCATCCATTCTGTGACTGATTCCAGTAATTCATTAGGTGCAACAAATGAGTGGTGACAGTGGAGGCTACACTACCCCACAATTCATCTCCCTTGCCTCTTGCTGAGAAGGTTTCCTGTTACACCAGGCAGAGCTGTCATCATCACTCTCCTTACAGGCTCTCTCTCATTCTCAGTTGCCTCCAGACAGAAATGTGTCCAGTCCCAGAAGCTGTGAATGCCCTCTTTCCTCAGTTGCCAAAAATCTGCATGGCACTACTTGCCTATAGACCCCTGGGTTTAGCTAAGAGCTCAGCAGTGGTTACAATATTTGGAAGTGCTAAATATTTCTACCTGAGTTATAACACGCAAAAAAGTCAATCTAGCTCCTCTGAAACCCGTTGCTTTCAGAAAACTCTGAACTGCTTGTAAATGCCATAATGAGGAGCACTGACCACTTATCTAATAAAATTTGCTTTCTGAAGTATTTCTTAGCTCTATTACAATCACACAGCAAGTATCTCTGAGCATGGATTTGATATTGGCAGTCTTCTTTTGAATTGTGTATTCATGACAGGGAATCTTAGTTCTCCTTTGTGACTAATTACTGCTAGGGGATATCCTAATTAAATGATCATTTGTTTCTTTGTCCTAATAAAAACACACTAAATGCATCTGATGCATTCACAAATATGCAAAATACTCAGTCCCCAGTCCAGGTAGCTCTCATTTATTCAGGTTTCTAATTCTAAAGACCCCGTTTACACAATGGATGGCACAGAGAGGGAAGGCTGGCAGAAGAGCCCAGGAGCCCTGACTCTACTCCCCTCATCCTGGAGAACAATGTTAACACTGAGGACTCATGCTCCAGTGTTGCCCTAATTAGAGCAAACCAGCTACAATCAGACAAACTTTATTTGCACTGTTTGTCGACAAACTATGCATAAAAGACACCACAGAGCAAAAGCACACAGGGCACTGGTAACAGATAGCATAAAATAAAGCAAACAATGATAAAAATGACTGCTTGATAAACACATCAGCCTGGCCAAAGGCAACACATTTCAGAGGAAGATGTTTTCAGTAAAGCTGCAGCAATCTCTGCAGCCACCAAGTGAACTTTACAGAGGATTAGCAGTGCTGGAAACTGGAGTCCTCTTTTCACCCAGAATAAAACAAGGGCAGTACAAGGCCAGTATTGCCACTAATACACCTTATTTCTGGGCACACCGAGCTCTTGGAGGGGGTAGGAGGGGATGCCCCTCTTTGCTGAGGTCACAGTCAGGGGCATTTAAGTCAGGAGCTTAAATGCCCCTGACCTCCCCCAGCACTGCTGGCTGTGGTCCAGTGCTGGGGAGGGTGATGCAGAGGGCAAGCAGCTTTTGCCCTCTTTGATGCACTGGTTGCTGCTTCACAGAAACCACCTTTGGCTTTTCCCACAGTTTGCTCAGCAGGGCTTGTCTACAGGTGCTGTCTCATCCCTGCTATAGCTCTGCCTGAATTAGGGAGTTATTCTCCCCTGCCCTAGGGTCAGCTTTGGCTGAGGCCTCATTGCTATTCTCAGCCTCCTCTGCTGACCCCACGGTCTGCAGTTACACTTCACAAACTGCTTTTGGAAAGAGCTGTCCTCCTTTACAGTGTCAGCTAACTTCAGGGACCAGCAATCATCAATTTCACTGAAGAACCAGCAAATCAATGACCTCTGGGAGACATCCTGGAGTCCTGTGGTCTTCTTTCTATCAAGGCTGCAAGTGTAGCTGCTAATTTGTTGTTCTGTGCATGCCTGTCTCAGTGGCTGCTCATTAAGTGAGATCTGTCATCGTTACTGCTGATGGCAAGAAATGTTCAGACCCCCCACTGAACTGAGAGTCTCTAGGAAAAAATGGAATATGATAACTTTCATTATCTCCTTTTCAAACACCAGGAATTCAGTGACCAAAGCCAGCAGGGAATGTGGATCAAGGAACTTGCATTTCCTAGCCAAGGGAAAGCATATAAAAATCAATTAACTAGGGCATGAAATAGTTGTGGTTCTCCCAAAGGAAAATACTGTTTAGCTTAATTGTTCTGCAACTAGTGTTAATGAGTTATCATGAATCATATTTCTATTTACATCCCCAGGAATCAAAATATGCCAGAGTGTCACACTGTATGCTTCTCAGGACAAAAAAGAAAAAAGGAAAATAAACGTACAGCAGCACTTTGGTTTCTACCAGCTTTCATATGGCATAGCTTTCTTACTGCTTCTCAATTTTTGGCCTCCTGACACCTCAGAGGTCAGAGCCTGAGGTGTCAGGAAAGCTCTGACTGAGCTTTCAGCTGCTGAAACAGGCCCTAGTCCTGATGCAGCAATGTTTCTGAGCTTGCTCAAGTGCACGAGTCTGCTATGCCTGTCTAGAGTCAAACATACACTTAACCAGTCTGTAGGATCCTTAAACCTGACCCCCAGCACATATTTCCTTCCTGGCTCTGCTTTACACACCATTTATCAAGGTAACTCCAGCACCCAAAAGTGTGAGCTTGAGCAGGAGAGCAGACTGGCTGCAGCTCTTCAGATGCTGGAGAGTACAGCTCCCAAGAGACCCCTCACTCACAGCTCCTGTTTCATGGACATCTCTCTCATGATCCCACATTGCTGCCATTGCCATCAGGTGACCAGTGCAGGCAGCCAAGTTCAGAGCTGCCCTTGAAGGCTGAGCACAGTGACAGAAGTGCAGCCTTTGGCTCTGGATTTGGCTTTGACTTGTCACACCTGCCATTTCTAAAGGGATCTGCATTCCTGAGGGGATCAGCACTTACCATCACATATCAAATCCACCTGGAAGGACAAAGGGACATCTCAGTCATGGCCCCCACAACGTGTTGGGGCATTTACAGGGTTTTTCAAAAGAAATTTGGACAAATGATTTGGAAATCTGTTTGGAGAGGTTTCCCTTTGGCTCCTCCCAGTGACATATCTGGTCTGAATTCATTGATCTGTACAAAGCTGTGAGCCATGTTTGACTCTCAGATCAAACATGATTCTTGTACATTTTTGATCCTCAGTGAACCAATGATCTGAGCCAGTAGCTCAGACTCACTCAGCTGGAGTCATAATATCTGAAGTCTCAGTCTGGATATGCATCCTGCAACTCTGTCCATCTTTTTTAATTCATGTGACACAAACTCTGTTAATTGGGAGTGTTTTGAGAAGATGGAGCCACACCCTTTGGAGAGGTGCACAGCGGAAGGATGAGTGGTGATAGATTTGAAACAAAAAAGAGGTTGTGGTTTTGATGTGAAGAAAAAAGGATTATCATGAGTGTGATGAAGTAATTGAACAGAGAGGCTGTGGGACCTCCATCCTTGGAGATAATTCAAAATTCAGCTGAATGAGGCCCTAAGCATCCTGTTGGTGCTGGACTAGATGTGAGCAGAGGCCAGCAGTGGTCCCTTTCCATTCACCCCAGCCTGTGACTCTGTTTTGAAGCATAGCAGCACATGGTAAAAAATGTAATAATTTCCTGGGGTTTTTTTAATGGAACAGCAATTCTTGTGTTTCTGCTGAAGAACTGAGGGAGTAATATGGCATTTGATATGCCACCAAGGAGAAAGAGACAGAAACTGCATATAAGCCTAGAGATCAAATCCTATCAGTAACTGAGCACATGCATTGAGCTTAATGGAATTTGAGGCTGTCCATCATTTTGTAATATCAGGTTTTAGGAAAGAGAACCAACACGAGATCCTCTTCACACTAATGTGCACGGCAAAATGTCCAGCAGGCTCAGTGAATGAAGCAGGGGTGGATGCCTCAATTTTCAAGCTCAGCGTGTGCATTGTGGAGGAGTCTGACACAGATGCGTGCAAAGTGCTTCACCCCATCCCTTTTTGTAGCTAAAACCAGAAAGCCCTTGCACAA